GCACTTTCTTTCACGGTTGTGTCCCTGGCAGCCGATCATAGCCCTCTTCAAGATTTTTGTGTTGCTCATCCCACTAGCCAAGGTACATATGAACAATACATACATACATATATATATATATATACAAACACCTTCACGGCTTTCTCTTTCTTCAATGCATATATATATGTATATTATGTGGGTGTGAACAACATATAAGTGCATGCAATGTAAATCTTTGAATGAGTTATATCCACAAGTTTTTAACATTCTTAACTTATTTTCCTACATTTATACGATGATGGCAGTGTTGGTGAATGGTTTGACTTGCAAGGATCCCAAGCTTGTTCAGGCCAACGATTTCTTCTTCAGTGGATTACACTTGACAGGCAACACATCCAACCCTGTCGGTTCTAAGGTGACTCCCGTGAGCGTGGCCCAAATCCCAGGATTAAACACTCTTGGCATCTCATTGGCTCGTATTGACTATGCACCATGGGGAATTAATCCACCCCACACCCATCCTCGTGCCTCTGAGATCTTGACAGTCCTTGAAGGTCGCCTCGAAGTGGGTTTTGTAACATCAAACCCCCAAAACAAACTTACAACTTTGATCTTGAACAAGGGTGATGTGTTTGTTTTCCCTGTCGGACTTGTCCATTTCCAGAGAAACGTGGGACACAGTAATGCCATTGCAATTGCTGCTCTTAGTAGCCAGAATCCTGGTGTCATTACAATTGCCAACTCTTTGTTTGGATCTACACCTGATATTAGCAGCGACATTCTTGCCAAGGCTTTTCAGTTGGAGAAAAATGCTGTAATCAATCTCCAATCAAAGTTCTAGATCACAAGCAAGCTAGTTGATGGTCTACTTGAACAAACTCATGGGTGGCACATCTAATTATCCTCTTTCTTTTCTTAAATTTTATTTGTAATAGCATACGATGTCTTCTAGTGACCTCGTGTAATTTTATTTGGTTGAGATTGTCCGTTCCTTTTTTTCGTTAAATTTATGTTTAAAATGACGTGTATTAATTCATGTTGTAATATTTTATCGATTTGTATTCATTTTATTGCCAATCAAGAAAAGAAGTGATTCATTATTATATATTTGTTAGTTCGATTGAGTTTGTTAAAAATATTATCATTCAAAGAAGAATTGTATTTTTCAATTGATTATTTTTGTATTAATGGAGAACCCTCATTTATAAATGCACATTAATGGTTATCCACAAAATAAACTATACACATTCTGCCATCGTTCGTGAAATCAAACAGTTACTATTATAGGACTGGTATAAAACAATTTTGGGAAAGAAGTAAAAATTTGGGTTCGGGGAATGTTTTTGAAAAAAAAATCGAAAACTGAAGTTCAAAACACAATTTAGAAAAAATTCGTTACGTAAAATTGCCCAGTCAGCAGTCCCGACGAACCGGAGCGCGTCGCATGGTAAGACATGCTGACTCGATGCCACGTGAAAGGCCACGTTGGCAATCCGTGTGCCCGCGATCAGATGATTCAGATGCGTTCCCACGTGCGTGGACGGTCCAGGTTCGTTCCCTCCTTAAGCACGATTGGACGGTCGCAATTAAACGCGATGAACGACAACGATTTGTTATCTATTTAAATATGATCGTACGGTTCATATTAAATCGCAATGAACGGTGTATATTCATTTTATTTTTAAATGTGATGGGACAGTCGAGATCAAATGCAATAAACGATCCAAATTCAAGGGAGATGGATATAAATATCTCACTTTATACCGAACCTAAACTCTAGCTGCTAGTCCTCCACCGGAGAAGAAAAACTAGTCACCGGAGAAAGGAGCCGACCACCGTCCGCCGCCACACCAGAACCATCTTCGACTGCCAATAAAGGTAAAAATTCTTCTATTCAATAAGAATTTGATTTTGAACATCCCCATGGCCTTTGGAACAAAAGAAACGGTAGATGAGGCAGAAACTGCGGGTAAATCTCGGTTGCGCCGTTGCAAAAAAAAAACTAAAAATCACATTCGATGATCCCCTTCTCGTTTCCTATTTCGTGTGATTTTTCCACGATTGTATTCACCATTATGTGTTTTACAGCTTGACCGAAGAAAAACGCCCAACCGCGAAGGTGAGCTGGCGGAGCCGTTTCACTGAAAAATCTCGTCGCCGGTAAGTTTTTATTTTTCGACTTTTTCAGCTAATTGAGTCCCGTTAACATGTTTTCTTACAAGGATGGGTATAAAACCGACCAAAACAAATCGAAAACAGTCAGTTCGAGGCAAACTACCACCGCAGGCGGCGGTGTCGCTGTGCCAAAATTTTAAAATATGCTGAAAAAAATTTTTAACACTAATTTTGAGTTTATTTTTTGGTATTTCTAGATATGTGAAGCGTGTTTTAATCTCTGTAAAAAAATTCAAAAAATTCAAAAATTGCTAGTAGGCGCAGTAGAAAGTTCAATATTTCGGTTATCAATTCGGGTAAAATCCATCACCTTACTCCCTGTTATGAATTTGAAATTTAATTATAAATAATACGGTATTAATTGTGTTATTTACAGTTAAATTGTGAAACTGAAAATTAAATATAAACAAAAAATTGACTGATTAAGTGAATTAATGAAATAGTTGTCTTATTGGATATCTTAGGAGATGATGGTCGGACCCGCTACATAGAGAACTCTACTATAAATGTTACCTCATACCGGACAGGGTATTAAGGTTTGGTAATTTAGCGCTCATACCGGATGAGGTATGAGAATGACCTATTTCACGCTCATACCGGACGGAGTATTGAAAGATGACACCTTTGATGTTTATACCAAACGGGACATGAAGACGATCCGATTTACCCTCATATTAGACGGGATATTGAAGGATGATACTTTTGGGGTTCATACCAGACAGGGTATGGAGACGGCCGATTAGTTGACAAGTTTTGTTATGGGTTCACATGTAATGGGATATACCTTTGGGCCCTCAGGGATACTAGTAAGTAAATAAAAAGAGAAAATTGTTATTCTGCCTAATTGAATATGACCTCATACCAGATAGGGTATCAAGGTTTGGTAATTTGACGCTCATACCGGATGGGGTATGAGGATGACCCGTTTCACGCTTATACCGAACAAAGTATTGAAGGATGACACCTTTGATGTTTATACCTGACGGGGCATGAAGACGATCTGATTCACCCTCATATCGGACATGATATTGAATGATGATACTTTTGGCGTTCATACCGAACAGGGTATGGAGACAGCCGGTTAGTTGACAAGTTTTGTTATGATTCACATGTAATGGGACATACCTTTGGGCCCTCAGAGATACTAGTAAGTAAATAAAAAGAGAAAGTTGTTATTCTGGCTAATTGAATATGAGATTATGATGTCGTTTGTGTTATTACTACTATAGGTCGATTTTGAAAATCTCGCTACGATAAATATGTAACAAATGATTTTATTTATTATAAATGAATTTACTTAATTTAAGAGCTCCATTTGTTGGTTTTATGATTTTTACAAATCTTCATTTCTGTATTAGTAAGTGATGTGATATTCTTACTAAATTAGTGTAGTTCACTTTTTCATTAATCATTTCAGATAAAGAGGACTAAGATCCAGATCCCAATCAATAAGGGGTTGTGAATAATTACAACTCGGACTCCCTTCAATGACTAGTGAAGATCGTTCTAGGATACCTAATTGTTTACCTTTCATTTATTTCTTAATTTTTCGCTTGTTCTTTTAGAAGAGGCATTTCAGTAACTTTATTGGGTATTATGAATTATTACGTAAAAAATGTAAATTCTAACTCTATTATTTCACTTCCGTATTTAGTTTATTATTTTCTTTTTTTTTAAGTTTCGGGGTTGTTACAGCAATTTTTAACATTACCATATTCAAACAACTATTTTCTTCAATATTATTCCTTCAAAAGTTTCAATTTCTAAGCACTTGTAGCACTTTCTTTCTCTATAGCCATGCTAATGGATTATACTCTTTCATCAAATTTATGTTTCTCAATCCAATACCTAGGGTGTTTCTCTTTCTTTTAAACATATACACACACACACACATATATATGCTCATACTTCTAAATATGTGTATATATATACACATATCATGTACATATTTATAATCAATTCTTAAGATTTTCATATCGTAATGCTTTTTATTCACTTGGATATTAATGAGTGAATCTTGTCAAAATGATTTTCACCACATGGATTGCACTTGATTGCCAACACATTCAATGCCATGGGGTCTAAAGTGACCTTAGTGAGAATTGCTCAAATGGCAAAATTTAATACTCTTGACATCTCGTTCGCTAGCCTCGCTACGCCCCATGTGGAATTAATCCACCTCCCACCGGCCCTCTCGTGCCTTGAAGAACTGTCAAGATTAGTAAGACTATGTTGCTTTTAAGTAAAGTATATTTGCTTCTTCTATATGTAAATTGGTTATAATTTATATAACATTCATTTAATACACACTTAGGAAGAATTCAATGAAGAACAAGTATGTTCTTGCCCCATTTTTCTCTCTTCTCTATTTTGTTCTTACTGCCAACATTGATAGCCCTTTGAAGGTCGTGCTGAAGTAGTTTTATTGCTTCGTATTGGAAATGATTTGCAGTAATTGATGAACTGATGAAGGAGATACAATGATAATGATCAGTTCTCTCCAGTTAAACAGTAATTAATTAATATTATTTCTTAGAATTATAAAAAGATATATAACAAATATCAGAAATATATTTATTCAGGTGTTTTAACAGGTCATGAAGGAATCAGCTGGCTTATCCATTTATACGTACACATATGTACACCTATATACGCACAGGTTGAACCTGTCTTCAAGATCCTTTCCTATTTTTGTCGCCTTACGGTCAGTTTTTATAGTTTTCTGATTCATATATATACATATATAATGTGCATATCTTAATCATCTATAATTTCCTGGGCGTATAGTTATGATTTTTAATATTGATAATCTCTCTTCTTACAGCTACCAATTCAAAAATTAATGATCAGACAAGAACCGGCCTCCAGATCTAATACAACATACAAACAGACCCATATGTATGTGTTTTACATATGTACTCTATCCATTTCAAATCGAACAGTATACATATATATATATGAAAAATATGACCGAGTATTTAAGTTATTGGGCGGCATGCGAAGCTGCAAATTAATTAATTACATACATTCTCTCAACTTATATGGAGCCTATATAAATAGAAGCAACATGTTCATGTGCCATCACTACTACTTTCAGTTCACGTTTCTTACTGAGAAAATCCATCAATATATATACATATATATAGCTTCAACTGATTGATTACACATTGTCAAATGGCCAGCGCTCATTTCCTTTTCCTTGCACTTGTAGCACTTTCTTTCACGGTTGTGTCCCTGGCAGCCGATCATGGCCCTCTTCAAGATTTTTGTGTTGCTGATTCCACTAGCCAAGGTACATAAGAATATAGATATAGACACACACCCTTTACGGCTTTCTCTTTCTTAAATGCAAATATATATGTATATGTATATATGGGTGTGTACAATATATATGTGCATGCAACGTAAATCTTTGAGTGAGTTATCTTCATAAGTTTCTAACATTGTTAACTCATTTTACTACATTTATACGATGACGGCAGTGATGGTGAATGGTTTGACTTGCAAAGATCCCAAGCTTGTTCAGGCCAACGATTTCTTCTTCAGTGGATTACACTTGACAGGCAACACATCCAACCCTGTCGGGTCTAAGGTGACTCCCGTGAGCGTGGCCCAAATCCCAGGATTAAACACTCTTGGCATCTCACTGGCTCGTATTGACTATGCACCATGGGGAATTAACCCACCCCACACCCATCCTCGTGCCTCGGAGATCCTGACAGTCCTTGAAGGTCGCCTCGAAGTGGGTTTTGTAACATCAAACCCCCAAAACAAACTTACAACTTCGATCTTGAACAAGGGTGATGTGTTTGTTTTCCCTGTCGGACTTGTCCATTTCCAGAGAAACGTGGGACACAGCAATGCCATTGCAATTGCTGCTCTTAGTAGCCAGAATCCTGGTGTCATTACAATTGCCAACTCTTTGTTTGGATCTACACCTGATATTAGCAGCGACATTCTTGCCAAGGCTTTTCAGTTGGAGAAAAATGCTGTAATCAATCTTCAATCAAAGTTCTAGATCACAAGCAAGCTAGTTGATGGTCTACTTGAACAAACTCATGGGTGGCACATCTAATTACAAAATTATATTTTGTAATAGTTTATGATGTATTCTAATATTTTGTGATTTTATTTCGTTAAAATTTTTCGTTACATTTTTTTTCGAATTTACGTTGAAAATGATGTCTACTAGTTCATCTTGTGATATTTTATCAATTTTTTTTTATTTGATTGCCAAAAAAACATAAAAGTAATTCATCGTTATCATTTGTTAGCCACGTCTGAGTACCTCTCTTTTACATTTGCATATATTTGCTCGTGAATGAAATAAGCTATGCACAAGATAATACATACACGAAAGAATCATAGTCTTACCCATTGCAATTATTATAAAAAATACTGATAAAAGTTATTTATACATTAATCTTGTGTTTTATGCTCGAACGAAACATATTAAGCTCGATTATAATTTTTTTTAAGGAACAATTGTTGACAATTAGTTATATACTCCTTTCATTTGCATTAAGAATCGAATCGACAATGTTTTTACTAAGCCATTAGGGGCAAGCGTTTTCTCTAACATATATTCTTCTCCAACTTCCCATAGTGTATAAAAATGAACGGAAAGATAAAAAAATAAAAATCATTCATATTGTAGAGTCAACAATCAAAAGAAAAATAGAATTATATTCTCAACAGAAGATTACACTAATCCGATTAGTTCAAGAGTGAAGAAATCTGTAAACAAGCATTAAAGATAGAGTCATATTTTACTTACACGTATTACATTTTTTTTTTGTTTTAACTCAATTTAAAAATTCAAATAGATTCTGAGATAAGACAAGAAGAGATAATAAAAATTTATAAAGCAAATTAATTATATATATACATATATAAATGTACGGAAAATTTTGAACTTAATCTTTAATTGCTTGACCATAAATGGAGCTACACATTGCAACTTTTAACTTTTCGATATTTAATAATTACTTTCTTCAATATTATTTCTTCAAAAGTTTTAATTTTTAAGCACTTGTAACAATAGTGTACAACTTATGTTATTATAAAATTAACGTGTTCACTATTAGATATTTACATTTTTATAATTATTTGACAGTTTTATCGTTAAAGAATTTTTTAACTATTAATTTATTTATTAAAGTATCTACTTATTATAGAATCAACGAAAATTTGGTGAATCCACCACGGATTCGGGATATATTCGCGTCTTGTAGATCTAAAAACCAGGTTGGATTCAAGTTTTGTAAAACTATTATGAACTCGACTTATTATCATCTTTTAATAGCTATGAATGAATAACTAAACTTCTTTCGTAAGAGTTCTCTAATCATTTTAATCGAGAAGCAACATCTCTTACTGTTTATGTATAGAATGTTAAAATTAAGAACTTTGAGAGAAGAGTTGTGATTTCAACGACGGTTAGGGAGTTTGTCGAAGTGTGATTATATCTTCGTATTGATTGTGTCTACGCATGGTAGTTCCTCAATTCACTTGTTATATATAAGGGTATATTTATCCTCTTCATGTACAAGTAAGACCAGCAAGTTAAAGTTGAATCCATGTTAGCACAAAGATGCTTCACCAACATCTATCCAGATCCAGTAACATAAAGAATAATTAATCAATACTGTTGCTTAGACTGAGTATAACAAATAGCAGAAACATACTTATTCACGAATTTTTAAACTGGTAATCAAGGAATCAGCTGGGTTATCCATTCATACATATACATATGTACACCTATAAACGTACAGGTTCAACCTGTCTTAAGAATCCTTAATCATTTTTTGTCGCCTTATGGTCTGTTTTTATAGTTTCCTGATGTATCTTAATCATCTACAAAATTTCCTGGGAGTATATTATGATTTTAATATTGATATTCTCTCTTCTTACAGCCATCAATTCAAAGATTAATGATCAGACAAGAGCCGGCCTCCAGATCTAATACAACATACGAACAGACCCAATGTATATGTTTTATATAGATACTCTTATCCATTTCGAATCAAATAGTATACATAAATATATGAAAAATATGACCAAGTATTTAAGTTATTGGGGCGGCATGTGAAGCTGCAAATTAACATATACTTTCTCAACTTGTATGGAGCCTATATAAATAGCAGCACCATGTATATTCTCTACGTCCCACAACTACTACTCTCATTCAAATTCCTTACTAAGAAAATCCCTCAATATATATATAGCTTCAAATAATTATAAACATTGTCAAGCTATGGCTAATCTTCATTTCCTTTTCCTCGGACTTGTAGCACTTTCTTTCTCGGTTATGTCCATGGCAGCTGATCAAAGCCCTCTTCAAGATTTTTGTGTTGCTAATCCCAACGGCCAAGGTACATAGGATATATCTGTTTATATATGTATGTACATAAGTATGTACATATATACACCCTTTGCAGCTTTCTGTTTATTCAAATCAAATATATTTTTAGAATTCCTGTGCATACAATGTAAATCTTGAAGACTGATTTATGTTCAAAAGTTGTTGACATTCTTTTAACTTTGGCAGTGATTGTGAATGGTTTGGCTTGCAAGGATCCTATCCTCGTTCAAGCCAGTGATTTCTTCTTTAGTGGATTACATTTGACTGGCAACACATCCAACCCAGTGGGATCCAAAGTGACTGCTGTTAACGTGGCCCAAATTCCTGGACTCAACACTCTTGGCATCTCCTTGGCTCGTGTTGACTATGCACCATGGGGAATCAATCCGCCTCATACCCATCCTCGTGCCTCGGAAATCCTGACAGTCATCGAAGGCCGCCTAGAAGTGGGTTTTGTAACATCAAACCCCCAAAATAAACTCATAACTACAATCTTGAACAAGGGCGATATATTTGTGTTTCCCGTTGGGCTTATACATTTCCAAAGAAATGTTGGAGATGCTAATGCTATTGCCATTGCTGCTCTTAGTAGTCAGAATCCAGGAGTTATCACAATTGCGAACTCTCTATTTGGGTCTACACCTGATATTAGCAGCGATATTCTTGTCAAGGCTTTCCAATTGGACAAAAATGTTGTGACCAATCTTCAATCCAAGTTTTAGATCACAAGCAAGCTAGTAATCGTCTACTCAAACAAACTCGTTCGCGGCACGTCTCTCATTCGTGTAGTTAATCGTATTTTGTAATAGTCTATGTTGTGTTTTATTGCAACATGTAGTAGCTCGTGTTGTAATATCTTGTCGGTTTGTACTCGTTTCATTTTCATAGAAGCATAATATGATATTTTGTTATCTATATGTTTTGTTGTTTTAATAAAAATTGTATTTTTCAATTAGTTGATTTTGAATTTAGAAAAAAACCCTCGTATACACTCGTACATGTTAGTTCGTATGGATAATAAAATATAAACAAAATAATATAAGCACGAAAGAATTTTAAAATTTTATATATCATGAAATGATGTGATAATATTTTTATACAATTTATTTATTTGTTAATCACGGATTTCATATTCGAATAAAGATATCGATTATTTTCTTTCTCCGTGGCCATTGACAACTGGTTATATACTCTTCTTCAAGATTTTTATGTTACTGAATCCATATACAGACCCATTATGAGTATATATATATACAAATTATATCTGATTCAGATTAAATCATAGACATTATATAAATATGTGCCTATATATATACACACATATATGAAAAGTATGACCAAGTCTTGAAGTTGTTGGGCGGCATGTGAAGCTGCAGATTAATTAAATCACAATACATTTTCTCAACTTATAAGGAACCTATATAAATAGAAGCAGCATATATATACTCTTATGTGCCATATCTGCTACTTTCAGTTCTCATTCCTTTCAAAGAAAATCACTATATATATATATATAGCTTGAATTAATTACTATAAACATTGTCAAATTATGGCCAATGTTCATGTCCTTCTCGTCGGACTTGTAGCACTTTCTTTCTCGGCTATGTCCCTGGCTGCCGATCATAGCCCTCTTCAAGACTTTTGTGTTGCTTATCCCAGTAGCCGAAGTACGTACGAAACACGTGTGTACGTATATATATACACACACACACACACACAAACACATCCTTTGTAGCTCTCTCTTTATTCAATGCAAATAAATGTGTAGAATAATATGAAAATCTTGGAGAGTGAGTTATTTTAACAAGTTTTTTAACTTACTTTGCTCCACAGATGCAATGGTGGCAGTGCTGGTGAATGGTTTGGCTTGCAAAGATCCTCCTCAACCTGTTCGAGCAAACGATTTCTTCTTTAGTGGATTACACTTGATAACTAATACATCTAACGCTGTTGGGATCCAAAGTGACTGCTGCAAACGTTGCTCAGATCCCAGGACTTAATACTCTTGGTATTTCATTGGCACGTATTGACTCTGCACCATGGGGAATTAATCCACCACCCACTCATCCTCGTGCCTCAGAGATTTTGACAGTCCTTGAAGGTCGCCTTGAAGGGGGTTTCGTAACATCAAACCCCCCAAAACAAACTCATAACCATGATTCTAAACAAGGGCGATGTATTCGTTTTCCCTGTCGGACTTGTCCATTTCCAGAGAAATGTGGGGACACAGTAATGCCATTGCCATTGCTGCTCTGAGCAGCCAGAATCATGGAGTCATCACACTTGCCAACTCTCTGTTTGGATCTACACCTGACATTAACAGTGATGTTCTTGCTAAGGCTTTTCCAGTTGGACAAAAATGCTGCAATCAATCTTACAATCAAAGTTCTAAGTCACAAGCAAGCTATGATGGTCTTCTCTCATCACTAATTCCTAATTCTGTCTCTATATGTATAAACAATAATATTTTAAATAAATTATCTTATATATTTATATCATATTTATCATTATTTATATTATTTTTATATAATATTTTAATTTTAAAATGTGGTTAATATGATGTCATTTTTCTTTTTTAATTCTAATTTCGGGTCGGGTGAGAGTCCCTAGTTCTGTGGTTTATGGAGGAGAGGACTGTGTGAGAAATAAAAATGGAATAGGGAGAGAGCAGAGAAGTGGGAGTCGAACGAAGGATGGAGAAGAAGACCAAAGTGTTCTTTTTTGGGGATAAGCATTGGAGGGAGGAACTCTTCTTCTCAGCTTTTCTGGACTCTTGATTCTTCTACCGTCTTGAGGGTTTCATCTTTAGTGAAACCAGAGAGGAGAACGGAAGGTGAAATCAGAGTTTTGTTTTCTCTATTTTTCTGATTTAGCTGAGAATTCCGAAGAGGTAACATACAGAAGCCAAGAAATCAACTTGGTTGGCCCCCTCTTCTTGCGTTGTTAATGATGTTCTCTTTGTTTTTCAGAGTGATCTGAGAGTTACATTATGGGACAAAATAGTATTAGTAAAAAATGTAATGGAAGTTTTCTGTTTCTTCTCTTTATAAGGGCATATGCTTATATCTTTCCTTTTCTCTCTCTCTCTCTCTCTTCTCATGGTAGATTTTTGGTCTATGGAACATTGGAATGGAGTTTTGAGGGTCCCGTTGGACCTTAAGCACAAGAATTATTACAGAGTTGCAGCATCTCTTTGCTTCTCATGTGCTTCAAGAATGCTTATTGTAAGTTTCTTTCTTCTTTGATCCTCATTTAGCTTTCTGTCTAATGCAAAGAATAAAGCAAAAAGCAAAAAAAAAAAAAAAGGAAAAAAAGGAACTACCATTTCATGTTGGTTAGATGAATTTTCCTAATGTCCTGCATGAATTGGCTTTTCTTCATCCGACGACCCACAGGTGGACTCGTTTTTTTCAGTCTTTAATATCTCTACCAGCTTTCAAAAATTGAATTGCCTGAACCTGTTTTTATGTTTAAATGAGTAGGTGCCTTCTGCAAATGTGATATTCTTTAATGGGGATAGAGTTCAAGGGACTGGGAATCCAGTAATTGAGAGGCTCTCTGATTTACAGATAATAGCTGATGTTCTTGTTTCTAAATTTGGTGGTTCTGTTAATGCTTGGGTTATTGAGGCATCTGTTTTTAATGGGCCTTTTGCGGTGTACAATGATTTCGTTCCTTCTGTGAATCGATGGGGGGAGCCGAAGTCATACTCTGCTGTCGGATTTCCAGCCTCTACATCAACTATTTCACTCTTATCAAATTTCCTTGAGGAGGTAATTTCACCAATCAAGTTGTTTTCTTGTTCTGTTTTGTTTCCCATGTTCTTCTTGAGAATGTCTTTGTTTTTAATTACACTTATGGAATGGCATCCCATAACATGAACCCTTTTGGAAATTATTGAACTAGAGGAGAATATGTAAGTCATCTGCGCTTTCTAAGTTGGCCAAATTTCTCTGATGTAACATACAAATATTTAGAAGGTGTTTGGATGTGCTAAAAGAAATGCGTTGAAAGTAGTAGGCTGCTTTAAGTTTCTTAAAGGATGTACTCACTTATCTTAAAAACAAAAGCGATTATATGTTTAGATAAAACATCGATTCCAAAAAAAAAACTGATGTTTTCTATAAGAACAGATAATAGATATCTATATTTATCATAAGTATCTTATAACTTGCATTATTGTGTATTTAGATTATTAATTTGAGACCATCTAAATGATAGTTAAGTAAATTTGTTAGATGAAACAAAAAATAAAAAAGATGATAGTAGGATTCTTCTTTTTCACATTTTAGAATCACTTTTGAGAATCTAATCGCCATCTTACTTTGTATGTTATGAAACCTACATACTAGATTGAGATACTTAAAGCTGCTTAGAAGCAACTAATAATCAATCTCCAACACTCTGTTAGACTTTGACACATTTTCTAGCTAGGATATCTTTATACCATCTGTAGATTGTATTTTTCTGATAACAGTGGCAAAATAGTGGGTTCGTATGGGGTCATCCTCTTAGCTCTGTGGAAGATTTGGTGGAACTTATTGATATATTGATTGTATTGTAAATTTTGTACATGGACGGCATCCCCTTAGTAACTATATGAAAACAATTCATACTTTATATCTAAAAAAGAAAGAATAGCAGACTCATACTTGGGGGATTCAGATCTCTTGCTCGGACTCTTGTTCCTAGGAAAGAACATAAATGTCTTTGCCAACAACTACATCTTTGTTTCGTTTCACTAGGCCCATAGAATGGATAGTTTCGCTAGTTATTCCATGTGCAATTTAACATTTTCTGAGATTTATGAAACGTGTTACTCTAGTGAATTCCTAATGAATTTTGTTAATATAGGCAAAGAATATCATGCCAGTACATAAGAAAGAACCATGCTTGACCGGAGCATCTGCATCATATTTTTGTCAACCCACAACATTAATCCTTGGATTTAGTAAGGGTGGAACTGTTGTTAATCAGATTGTTACTGAGTGCAGCCTCCTAGGAGTAAAATCTCCAGAACATCAATCCCCATTGAAGGAGCAACAAGTGGGTAGTGAATTCACTAAAATCACGGAAGAAAGCCAAATCATTCCAAGGACTAAGGAAAGCTTTCTAGACAGCATAAAAGAAATCCATTATGTGGATGTTGGCTTGAATTTATGTGGAGCATATATCACCGATCCCAATGTCATTGAGAATATATCGAAACGGTGTGCGCAGGGAGATAAGAGCATCCGTTTTGTCCTTCATGGAACCCCTAGACAGTGGTGTGATAGCCGAAGAGATTGGATTCGGGAGGAAAAGGACAAATTGGTTCATCTGCTTAATTCTAGAGCTTGGAAGAGTAATGGGAACTTGCAGGTTTGTGAAAGGTTCTATTTTGCTGATAGCCCTCCTGATGTGCAAATGCATTTTGAGATTATTGAGAAAATGGATGTTAGTTGAGAGTTGAAAGTTGATAAGCATGTAATGGAATCTAGATATTGTAGAAATGCTATAATATCTGTGTATATGACTGTAATATAGATTTCTTCTTGAGGATCCTTTCCCTCTTTTTGTTGAGAGGATTTACAGGTTTGTTTACTTCAAATGTTAAGTTATTTTAGTTGGTTGCTTTTTTTGGGCATTGTATGAATTTTCAGTACAATATACATACACATATATATATATATATTATCTGTTTGAGAAAAGCAAGTTGAAGGAGGGAGATCTTGTGAGAAAAGTTTCTTTGCTTGGCCAATGTTATGTTGGTGACATTTCCTTATCTAATTTACTTTTTCTTTACCTAATTTCCTTGAAAATATTTTACACACAGACCATTCACCAGTTTTATTCCAAAAATAGAAAATAAAATTAAAACTCTTAAAATACAGAAAACAAAATTTTCCAAAAATTTGAATTCCTGTTCATATATATTTTTTTCTGTACAGATAATACACATATTAATCAATTAGATAAGAAATAAACACTAATCATAATATTACAGAAATACCTTTTAAGTAAGAACACGCATAGGAGCATAAGTTGGTTCGAATTTACGATATGTTTTAGATAATAATATATCAACTATTAAGTTAAACAATAATATATTAATTATTGAGCAAAATAGTAGTTTGATTTGATTTTTTTTTTTCGAGATAAAAGTTAGTAGATGTATTAAACAATGGTACCAAAGAGGTACCGTCTATGTACAAAAGTGTTACATATCTAAAAGAATATCGGTAACAGCTCCAATATCATCGAAAGATTATAAGTTACAACTCAAAAAGATGGAGACAAAATAATATAAATATTTATCTATCCTCAATATTTACAATAGTATCTTCATTATCATAAAAAATCCTTTTTATTTTCAAATAATTTAAAATATAGTAAAGGGGATAAGACGATTAGTATGATTGTTCGAGTTTAAACCCTCCCGAGCTCAAGAGTTCATCATGATTTGCTTTTATACTACTAAAAAAGTTTTGAGAGAGTGTTTTTTTGGCTTTATTTTTTTGTATAAAGTTTAATAAAAAAATACATGCATTGATTGATGAGGTGAAAAACAAGTATTAGTCGTAATATATACAAGAAAAGAAAAGCTTTCGAACGAGAATATATACGAGAGTACATCTTGACTCGAGAAAATAATATTTTGTAGAAAAAGGAGGGTAGTCTCAATGTTGAAATTACTGAGAATAAGTTGAACAAACATTAAATAATAAGCAGTTTTCTTTTTCTTTCTTTCTTTTTTGATGAATAAGATAATATGCAGTGAAATTATCCATACAGATAATACGTTGTCCAATCAAATCTCTCGAGAACTTCGACTTTCAAGAACCAAGCTTTCAAGTTCCTTTCATGCAAAAACCAGAGCTTTCCATGTCTCTTCTAACACCAGAGAGAAACCACCGAGAATTTCCGAATTACCCTCCGCCGGAGATGGGATATTACTCGCAGGCTCATATATGCCAGTGTTTAACTCGCTTATCAACTCTCAAGCGGAACTCCATTGTCACCTTCTCGGGCCACCGGAAGAAAACTGGCCACGAGTTCGTTCGTTCTGTTCTGAGTTTGGCTGGTGGGCTGCTTAAACTTGGGGTTAGAAACGGCGACGTTGTGGCCATCTCTGCCTTCAACAGGTACTACCACTTTCTCTGAATCTTCATATCTGATCAAACGCCACCTAGGAAAAAAGAGAAAATTTGTTTCTTTTACAAGTTAGTAAGGAGAAAGTAGAAAGCTTTTCTTTTCTTTTCTCCTGCTTGGCCAAACTTAAATGAACTGTTCTTGGGAAACTTTCTTGATCAATGGTTTTCTTTCAAAGGCTTGTACAGTGTGTTTGTTACTGGAAAAAGGGTGCTTTGCATTTGGCCTCTGGAGCGATGTGGGTTTTAGAAGTAATGTCAAAATAGTTGTTTGTTCTTCTAAAACTTGTTTGTTGAAAATTAATTTTGAGATTTCAAGTGTAAATTTTTATTTTTTTAAAACTTGTACATTATAATTTTGTGTTAAAACCTGTCAAAAACAGATTTTGGTTTGATGAATTTCCAAACGCTGCCTTGTGGGTTTCTATTGTGTTGACCTGGGTACTCTGGCTTAATTTCAGTGAATATCTTTGAACAGAAGTTGATTATTGCTATTAATCTATTGTAGTTTTCTTTGAATAAAGTATGATCAACTCTGTAGTTTGAATCTTAAAAGTCAGAAGCTAATGAAACTGTGGAAATGACTTCACAGGTGTAAATTTAAAAACATGTTTAGCAGTTCAAGAAATATAGGGTAAATTATTAAATTAGTTCTTAAAATTTGAAACCTATTATAATTTGGTTCTTAATATCTTTTATTTATTTCAAATCCTTTCATTGTTATGTCATATTTAAATACTTTAAAAAATAGCTCAAAAGAATGACTTTGACTAAGTTTTTTGTCATTATTAATTTAATTATTTAGTTAAAATTATTAAAGTTTTATTTGGGAATGGAAGAACAACGTCGAGAATCAAATTGTAACTAAAAATATTACGAACCAAATTATAATACGTGACAAACTTTACGGACTAATTTGATAAAAATATTCAAAAACAAGTAACATTTAAAAATATATATACATTTACACACACGCAGTAGCATATGTAATGACATGAGGTTTCTAAGATATGAACAAGAATCTCGTGCTTCTAAGATAATCCGAATTCATACAGTTCAATTAGCTCTCAAACGTTTGTAGTGACGGAGAAAAGTTCAATTTGTTATTGGTTGTAAATGTTAATTGACTTGAATTTGATCATGGGTATATATAACTACGGAACTGTAAGTTTTAACCGGTAATACATAACTAGTTTACAAATTTGATATTATGCATAGAGTTGTTTGGTTAGTTTTGGTAATTTATATTCTCATGAACATGAAATGGGTATTGCTTCAGTGATTGGTATTTGGAGTGGTTACTGGCTGTTTCCTTTGTTGGAGGTGTAGTTGCTCCTTTGAATTATAGATGGGTGAGTTGTTGACTTCTTCTCTTGGTATTTCCATTTCGTTTCTAGGCTCATTAATTTGATTCATCCATGTTGAAATAAATGAGCTACACCATACTCTATATCTCAGTTTATCTATATTAACTTTAAAAAGACAAATAATAGGAGGTGCTTATTACAATTTGGTCTCTAATACAACCTCTACGTTTCTCTATTTGCTTCAAACATCCAGTTTCTAATGGGGAAAACTAAAATGGTTAAGACATATTTGAATGTTTGAAGGTTATTTTTGCTGTCTTATGATTGATATATGTGTATTAATTAATTAAGGAATGTATGAATTTACTTTTTTAAAAAAAAAGAGACGAAGTGAAACAATGAAAATGTGATTGAAGGTAAGTTGAGAAATGACAAAACAGGCAAAATCATGCTTGATATGCTTGCGATGATTACATAGAAAAATCTAGGAGGTAGAAGCAACAACATGCTTGTAGTGATATTTATGCAGAAGAACCGAGAGGGTGCCATAGTCGAAATGTAATTCCAGATAAGGAGACATGCATATTGAATCAAGGTAGAGAATCCTTCTATTAGGAGCCTAGACAGCGAATGTGTCCTTGATTTGTTGTTTGATTCGAGCAATTCTTTTAACATAATGGAAATTCATAAAGATAGGAAAGTGATCACTTATTATGGCTTACAAACTTAGAGGAAGTGCTAAATTTATGTGGCTCTAAGATCACTGATTTTTTCAAATCTGCATTTTCCAGTTCCTTAGTTCGCAAAGCTTTAGTAAGGCTATAATCATCAATAAGATGTTGCTTCATTACAACCATCAATTTCCTTAAATTAGTGATTATTTTTCTTGCTTACTATATCATTTTCAACTCTCAGAGCTTCGAAGAAGCAAGATCAGCTATGCTAACAGTTGAACCGGTAATGTTGGTAACTGATGAGTGCTGTAGCTTCTGGAATCTGGAAATCCGGAACAATGCTATAGCTTCTTTAAGGTGGAATGTGTCCTTGGTTTCCAATGATTTAGATGGAAGGAAAAGTATGCTACTTACTAAACATTAGGTGATAACTTATATATATACAGTATGTAGAATTTGAAGCTTTGACTTTAGTTTACTTGTTATAGATTCTCCACTATCGCAATTGTTGCCACTATTGACCATGGAAATGGTTAAGGAGCATTGCGAGAGACGGCTGCCATCAACTTACTCCTGGGCCCCTGATGGGTCTGCAATAATATGTTTCACATCAGGTAAACTTTCTGTTTTTATTTATCAAATGGGAAATAGTCAAAAGACAAATGACTCGTTCTTTAAATTGTGATTTTTAGATTTTTTTAATTTCAAGTTCTTTACTGTTTTTAACTTCAAATTGTAAGTGTTTCAGCTTTCTTGCTTCTTTGCTGTAGGCACAACTGGAAGGCCAAAAGGTGTTACAATAAGCCATTCAGCTCTTATTGTACAATCCTTGGCGAAAATTGCAATTGTTGGTTATGGTGAGGATGATGTATGCCTTTCTTCCGGAAAATCTATAAATCTATTATGTGCTATCAGAAGAATCTGACATTCAGACTCTGCATGATGAGTGGGGCTGAGCTGTAAATATGGCACAAGGAATAGCATCTTCATTATGGTTTCTTTAGTAGTTACTCTCTAATTCGCTCTTGTATTTACAGGTTTATTTGCACACAGCTCCACTGTGTCATATTGGTGGTTTGTCTTCGGCTATGGCCATGCTAATGGTCGGAGCTCGCCACATCTTTACGCCTAAATTTGATGCAAAATTCGCCCTTCAAGCCATAGAACAACATCATGTGACTTCACTAATCACCGTCCCTGCTATAATGGCTGATCTAATTTCCATAATTAGGTAACTGCAGCACAGTCCAATTTCTCACTAGAACAAATACGAGCTGTTCAGTAGTTGTTAGGACTGTCCATTATGATGCTGGAAAAAATTCGTGGATGAATTAAGCTATAACCCATAAGCAAAGATGTATTCCTTTTTCATCATCTCACACAAGCAAAGACGTTATTGTGATACACTAGTCCTGCATAAGAAAGATATGTGGTTGTTGAGCTTTATATAAGTACTGGAATCATATACTAATAACTTGAGTTTAAATTTTTTCATGTTCTATTTTTCTTTTTCAGGAAGAATAAAGATTGGACAACAAAAGAGAGTGTGAAAAAAATACTGAATGGAGGTGGAGGTCTATCAAGGGAGCTTATAAAAGATGTAACCAACATCTTTCCCAGAGCTAAACTCCTTTCAGCTTATGGTAAGTCTCACTTATCCTGCTTTTTCTACTTCACATTAGGGATACAAGACTTCCAGTTATAGAAATCGTTTTATTATTAGCTGTTGTTGCGATGTAAGTTACAAAAAATGCCTTTTAGTTAGTTATAATAACTATTACTTAGTTAGAATGGTTGGTACATTCCTTCCTTTACGAGAGATCGTGAATTTGAGTCGGGTTGTGCTTTCGTATATGTCATGATTTGGAGATTATTTCTATTGAATTATGTTTCATATACGTGTGCCATCTAATTAACAAATATATGAATTTATTGAAAGAAAATGTGGAACGACAAGTCACATATCTGACTTCATATGAATTTGGGGATGTAGAATTGATAAAGGCAGTAAAATTGTCTTTTTCGTCTTTGCTCTGGGGCCTAATTGGATGTCTTCAAGCTGACGAAGACAAACAAGCTTAAGCAGATTAAATATCCAATCAACTGGGCTTTTAAGCAGGTTAAATGATGAATAGCTCTTAGGATAACTTTTTTGTCTGACTCTACAACATCAAGTAAGGAAAGATCACGATTTTTGGTAAAACTGACTGTATTGTCACTTGATCATACCGTTTGATTAATTTGTATGCTAACTTATACTGGGTTTCAAGCATTTATAATAATAACCATATTAGATTCGTAAATATGCTCTTTCCTTTTTTCGGAAGTTTAAACAGGCTCTTCTAAGGAGCTGGATTCATTTTACTTTAGACAATGTAATCATCTGATTTAACCAAGCTGAAGTGCTAAGGAGACTTATAAAAATGCTCAATAAACAAACATGATCAAAAGTGATAGTCCTGATTCTTTATGTTTCTTCCCAAACTTCTTCATTTCTGAATTTCATGAGCATTGTACTTACACTTCTTTCCTCTTGATTTCTGAAGGGATGACAGAGACGTGTTCTTCATTAACGTTCTTGAACCTCTGGGACCCAACACTCAAAACAACAGACTTGCTGTTGTTTTATACAGAAAAATTGAATTCAATTGACCATCCACAAGGTGTTTGTGTTGGGAAGCCTGCTCCTCATATTGAATTGAAGATTTCTACTGATGGCACTTCTCAAGCTGGGAGAATCTTAACTAGGGGACCACATGTAATGCTAGGATATTGGGGTGAAAGTCAAGAAAAGAAATCAAATGCTGCAGTTGAAGGTTGGCTCGACACAGGTGACATTGGCTCCATCAATGAGTCTGGTAATCTGTGGCTCGTTGGACGATCAAATGGTCGAATAAAGAGTGGTGGGGAGAATGTTTACCCTGAAGAGGTAAGTATCATAAACATTTTCTTTAAATCTATCTTTCACTAAATTGATTTGAAATAATCTGGGGAAAATTCTGTGGTTGGGAGGATGCATTGGAAAAACTCTCTTTCAAGAAATCAAGGAAAAAAGTTGTTCCCTTCCATTTTACGCTTTTCTTGTGGAAAATGAAATGTAGATACTTAACATACTCACTTTCCTATGAGTCTAAAAGTGCAGTTTGCTCGGTGTAGTAGAGACGATTTTATTACACATCCCGGCATTATTGCTATTGTAGTTGTGGGAGTCCCAGATGCTCGCCTGACAGAAATGGTGGTTGCTTGTATTCGTTT